CGCCCCGCGGCGGCCACGGCGGACTCTGGTGCCGCCCCTCTGCGATCGTCGCCCCAGCACGGCCGCTGAACCGGCTGCGCCCCAGGCCCGCCTGCCGCCCGGCGGCGCAGCCCGCCCCGGCCCTGCCCGGCAACCCGGAGCATGGAGCGGTGCGGGAACCGGCAGCAGGTGAGCGCCGCAGCGAGGCCCGGGGCAGCAGCAGGGGGCGGGAGAAGAAGGCCGAGGCCCCGACGGTGTAGAGCGCTGTGTGCGGTGGGGGACAGGCCTGTCCGGGCGGTGCGGGGCTGCAGAGGGTGCGATGGCAGCGACCTTGCTATGGGCGAGCTACGCAAGCCGGGTGCTTGGCATTTTAAGTGGAAGGTTACACTCTTGCAGAAATTTCAGACGCTTGAAACTTGTTTTTCATTTCACAGAAGTTTGTTGTCTTTTCTTTTCTTTTCTTTTCTTTTCTTTTCTTTTCTTTTCTTTTCTTTTCTTCTCTTTTCTTTTCTTTCTTTGTTTCATTTTAGGATGTGGAATATAGTGTTTCTGAGCTAAGGGAATGGAGACCAGTCATTTACAGAAAGTGCACAGACATTCCTTGGTTGCTCCTCTTCTTTCTTTTCTGGGCTGGTTTGGTAAGCATGCTTTTTTTGCTAAAGAAAAATCAGATGCAAGGTAAATGGCATTCTGAACAGTGGGATACTAAATCTAAACTGAAATTATCATGGTCACAGGATTGTACTGGGACAGAACTGACCTTTGGGACACCACAGTGCTCTGTCTGTTACACAGACTTTTAAAGTTCTAACTATATGCTTTAAGTGCTGTGTGTGCACACATCTGGGTTATTTAGAATTAGATTTTTTGCAAATTAGTCCAGGGCTAATTTACAGAATAGTAATTCTTTTCTTTTCTTTTTTTCTTTTTTCTTCTCTTTTCTTCTCTTTCTTTGTTTCATTTTAGGATGTGGAATATAGTGTTTCTGAGCTAAGGGAATGGAGACCAGTCATTTACAGAAAGTGCACAGACATTCCTTGGTTGCTCCTCTTCTTTCTTTTCTGGGCTGGTTTGGTAAGCATGCTTTTTTTGCTAAAGAAAAATCAGATGCAAGGTAAATGGCATTCTGAACAGTGGGATACTAAATCTAAACTGAAATTATCATGGTCACAGGATTGTACTGGGACAGAACTGACCTTTGGGACACCACAGTGCTCTGTCTGTTACACAGACTTTTAAAGTTCTAACTATATGCTTTAAGTGCTGTGTGTGCACACATCTGGGTTATTTAGAATTAGATTTTTTGCAAATTAGTCCAGGGCTAATTTACAGAATAGTAACTTTTAAAATAAATAATTTAAACAAGAGTCCTAAACTCTTATTTCTATTTACCTCATCTCTTGTAGTCTTGTTATCTTGCAACATGACTGATGGATGTTTTATCAAGTTACTGTGTCCCGTGCTTAGAACAGCATTCAAGCTTTTGGGAACAGGGCTCCTTAAGTATGAATGATTTTTTTCATTATATGCCTGCAGCTACTCAGCATTCTGATGATGAATACACTATTAATAATTTTTCAATTAAATTCCTAATAACTCTTTTCCTGGAAGCTAATGCAGAAGAATATTTACACATTTTGAACACTGCATAAACTGAAGCTGAACTTTGTGAACGCGATAGGGTTTTTTACATGCTCTCTTATGCTTAGTGCTTTGGTCAGTGGAAGAAATACCAAAAATTAAACCTGTCAAAGGGTGAGGATTTGGGATGTTTGTTTTGTCTCACTGTTTTTAGTGTTCAGCTTCTGTGAAACAGCTTAATGCATACATGCGTTTCTTTTCTTTCATTTGGTCTTCTTTTTAGAACATTAAAAACTTTTTCTGACAGTGATTTGTTCACATAGTGAAAAAGAATTGCAACCAGCTCTGTGGAAATTCACAACACTGGCATGTATAGACACACTCCTCCAGCAGTCATGCAGCCATCTATTACTTAACAATATTTATGGCTTGGATCCAGCATGCTGTACTTAAAAATAAAAATCACATGCACACAGTATTTGCCATACTTATGGCAATAGACCTGTGACATCCATCTTTAGAAGAAATGCCAGATTTTTTTTCTGGCATATTTCAGATTGAGTAACAATACTAGCTAATTTCTCCCTTTTCTTCTGAGTGCAATTCCATTATTAACAAATATTTGCTGTGCAAATAAACGGGATCTGAAAATATTCTGTTATTGTAACAAACATCACATATATAAGTAGTGTGTCAGCTTTAATTGTGAAGTCTCTACGAAGTTTTCCATATTGATTTGGCATTAACATGCAGTCATAATTTAAGAAAAAAGTAATTAACTAGACTGCAAACATCAGGAAAAAGGGGACTACACTGAGGACAAAGGATGGATGTGCTTATATATGTTTGTGTATGAGACTCAGTTTTTTCCCAAGATCTCATCTTTAGTCGTAAGTTTTAAAAGCAGGATAACAAATAAAGGCTCTAAACCCTTTAAGAAAGCAGTTGAGCTATATCTGGTACGTACAATCTGTCTCTAGCACAGCTGGTATTCAGCAAAGTAGTAGTGGTTAATGTGGGACTGAGAAAACTTGCTGCTGCCAGCAGTTGGCATGTAGCCACAGAACTCAGTGTATTGTCCTTGGTGTGTGTGAAATGTGGTTTTCACCCCAGGGGTCAGAGGAGATGATTGAATCACTGATTTCTTCAATAGCTGGAGTCCTGTAAATAAGCCTTTGGTTAAAGTTGTGCTCAGGACTTCACTGACTTCCTAGAAGAAGAATTACTCCTTCTTGGCACTTGGAAAGGTTCTAATCAAGGAGCATTTTGGCCCTCATGAGGTACATGAGCGAAGTTTAAGCTGTACTCCTAGGCAAGGTGTCTTATACCGACTGAAGGTTGCTGCTCTCCAGCCAACACTGGTGCTTAGCTGTCCCTTGGACTTACAGGGAGCTGATTTGCTGGGATCTAAGTCTACAGTGTGGCACTCTTCTGGTTTTCACATGTGTTTAGGAAATATCTTCTTGAAATTTCAGGTAACTTGACTTTTAATTCTACTGTATCTGTTTAAAATGTACTTCTGATTAAACTCACTAGCAGCTGCAAGGGCTCAGCATTTAAGCAGATATGTTGCCCAGGTGTGTCTTGAAGGACACCCTGAAAAAGGAGAAGCACTGAGCACAAGTGAAAAATTAGCCTTTGTGTGACCTTGCCTAGTGACGCACAGGAACTTGGGTAGAGGCAGTGTTTAGCACCTTACTACTGCTTTCCTATTCTTTTAATCAAGACCCTTATCTTTCTTCTCCTGTCATACTCTGCTTAATGTATATATTTTCAACAATAGACGAGGGAAAGCTCTAGGGAGGGAATGGGGCTAAACTTGTCCATGTGACTTGTTCTAGCCTTCTGCAGATGGGTGAATTTTAGATTTAACTGTTTGTCTCCACAAGACAAAAATGCATGGGTTTAAAAACAGTAGTTATTGAATGGGAAGGAAAAGCTATTGTAGCATCATTTCACATTAAAAAATATTTTAACAGATGTTTATAACTGGCTATGCTGTGATGGCTGGTGCTGCAGAAAGGCTTGTGCTTGGATATGACAGCTTTGGGAATATATGTGGTAGGAAGAATACTCCTGTAAAAGGGGCACCCTTTTCTGGACAGGACATGAGTAATAAAAAGTAAGTACATCAGCTGATAACTGAATAAATATTTTTTTTTATAACTTAGTAAGATAGATCTTTTAGCTGTCGGTCATATAGATATGTATATGTACATGCTCATGTTGGTACAAAATGCTGAGTGAAAGTAGAATGTTAAGATAGAATTTGAAATTGTGCTACATTGTTATGCTTTATGCTGGCTTCTTCTAAAACAACATCTTAAATAGGACTTCAGCCAAACCAGTAATCATTCTGTATGGCAAATCTTTGTACTTAAGTTGCATGTTGCAGTTTCTAGTCATTCTGTTGACTCCCATGAACTATTCTTGTAGAATGGCACCCATCTTGGCAGCTTCTGATCCCATTTAAGAACATAAATGAATTGTAAAAATGTAGCATATTCTCAAATTGCTTCTTAACTTCTGACTTTAAACTCTTTTTTTTTTTTTTTCCATTATATGTGGAAAAAGAGTTTTATTTGCTTTGTAGTGCTTTAAAAAGATGGGGAAAAGGCTCAGAATTTAAACATATAAAAACCAGAAATCTTGTTTTTTGAAAAGAGGATCTTTTTTTCTTTCTAGGTATGTGTTCTTTCTGAATTCATGCAGCCTGGAAATGCAAAGCCTCAAAATCAGTTCAGTTTCCTTGTGCGTGTCTAGTTGTCCACAAGAGCAACTCAACTCTTTGGAAGACCTCCAGAGTTTTGCAAGGAATAATGGTGTGCAACAGGGAATATGAATATCTTGGTATATCTTTAGAACAGTTGAGCAGCTTTCAATTTGTTATTCTTATGTCTGCTACGCAAGGGAATAATTTCTTACCATTAATTTCCTGAGCAGTCCATGGCAACAGAAAATAAAATGTGTCTGCCTCGGTTTCCAGAAACATTACAGCTCTCTTATGCAAATTCAAAACTGTTGGCTAATTCCTGTACAATGCTGAGATTATCTAGCAGAAAACTGGCTGCTGAGAATTAACTAGTGTAGTTTGGTGGAGGTGCCAGTGGGTGAAGAGAATTTGCATGTTATTTGAGAAATTTGTCCAACTAGTTCTTTTAAATGTAATTAAAACTATGGTGGAATTATTAATTCCAGAGATACATAAGTGTTTTTGTCCCTTTAGACATCAAATACCTAGATTTTCTAGTCCACTGACAGGTTTAAAATTTTTTTCTGGTGTTCAAGATTGATACAAAGTCAGAAGTAGCTGTTCTGTAGAAAAGGCAGCTCCAGTTCGTTCGCATCCATCATTTAAATAAAATAACCTTTAGCCTAACCCTTATTCCCTAGGGTATGCATAAACTGCAGACCATATTAGGATTGGTGGCTATATTGATTGGAGGTCAGAGTTCTGTTGGGGGGGTTTTTTCTGGTGCTTTGTTTTGTTTCGCAAGGATTGCTATTTAAATTGACTACGTTTGTTTTAATTTCATTTTGGGGTATTTTACCATCATTTGGTATGTACAGAAAACTGTCAACACCTATGATATTATGTAAGTATCTTAAGTGTAACTGCATATAATTGCATTAAGTTCCATCCACATGCTGAAACTACTTCCGTGTTTATCTCAAGGGAGAGGGCACCTATTGCATTTTGATTGGGTTGAGTGTATCCAGCCTTTCTTTCCCAGAAGCTTTATATAATGGAGAAGAGTATTCTTAGCAAAGTACTAGGTAATATTTAGCCTGAAGCCCAGAAACTGTTACATTTCTGGAGAATATATATATATTCTGTTCTAAATCATGTAGGGCCTAGTTCTATTGAAGCTTCTGTCATTTTAGACTCTTCTGTCATCTTATTGAGTAAGTGTTTAGAGCTGAAGTGTCCCACTGTGGAACAAATAGTGTGCCTGCCCACCAGGAAGATCAGTAAATGGTAACTATAGTTAAGTCTAGAAGACAAAAGGTTCTGCAGAGGTTGTTTTAGATTTACCCAATTAACTACTTGTTATTTACATTCCCACTGGAATATCAGAGATTAATATGGCCTGCTAAGGGATCAAGGCAGAAGTGTAAACAAAACTTAAATATGTTTTTCTCTAAAATTGTAGTTAATATTAAGTTCCTTCTTTTTTTTTTTTTTTTTTTTTTTTTTTCCCTTCTTAGGTTCTTGTCTTTGCATTTACAACCTGAACATTTCCAGTTACACACTAAATCCAAAGGCAGCTGAGCTGTGTCCCGCACTGCCAGTTCCACCAAGGTAAGGATTACTGGGTACTTTAGAACACCCTTGAGTCCAAACAGCTTCTTAAGGATTGTTACTCACATTTTGTATTTGACTTGGTGTTTTACAGTCAGAATAGCTTTGCTGTATTTATTTTTGTACATGTTTCCTTATATGCTCTCATGTGCACCTGTGAAGATAACAGTGTCCTGTCCCAAACCTCTCCTATTTAGATATGAATATGTCTTTGTTGTAGTGCAGTGTTGTCAGAGTGGGACAATCAAGAAGCTTGGCGGGGAATGCCAAATAATTTAATATATAAATATTTGGTAGTGTTAACTGTACCTTACAAACATTGCTTTGCTGTGTCTTTTCAAATGCTTAAATATAATAAAAACAATGCAAAGTGTTTGTGGTCCAGAGTTCTCTGCAACAATGTCGCTAACAGCTATGTTAGTATGAGTTCAGGCTTTACATACACACGTGGGATCAAAGCAGGTGAAGCCACACCAGAATGGGAATAGGAGCTATGTGTTGATGGTGATTGAGATAGTAGTTCGTATTTTCTCCCAGGTTTATATTGAATGGATGTGCTGGTACAAGCATACTGCTGCTAAGAGTTTATTTTGCAGATGAAACATAAAACTAGCATTTGTACCTGTCCAGTCCCGTACCCAGTGCCCTGTTGTGTCAAACTCCACGTGCAAGGTGTCCTCCTGGGTGGGGAGGAGGTCTGGCGGGTTACAGATCAAACTGGCCAGCTGTGGCTGCACAGCTGTGCTGGGGATGGTTGTAGGGTACTGCAGAGAGCTTGCAAGAGAATGGTGGAAGCAGTCTCTGTGGATTAGAATTTGTCCAGTAATTAATACTTTTAACATCTTTGCTTTTAACTTTCTAGTAAATCTTTTCCATTATTTAATCGATGTGTTCCACAAAATCCTGAATGCTATTCCAAATACGCATCTGTCTTAATAAGTATGGTTAATGAAATGGATGTTTTTCACCGAATTCTGAGTGGAATATTGGCAGGAAGACATACTGTGATAGGACTGAGTTTCCTCGCACTAGGTAAGTTATAAACAAAATACGAGTAAAAATATTCAATTAAAATGTGAGGTTTCAAATGTTCATATTTACTTTATTTTTAGCTTTAAAAGTTACATTTTTCATAGCAGAGTTGTTTTTAAGAAAGTGATTTTGTTTTATCAGGAGGCATTTATTATACTGATGAAGAACAGCTATATGAAATACCAAATTCTGTGTTCCTTGATACAACCGTATGCCCTATTTAAAGGGACTCTATAAAATTGTTGATAAAAAAACCCTGGCATCAGGATGAACATTGTTACTTCAATCTCGAAGGAAAATGATGGAAAAGCAATAACTCCCCAAGTGAAATATTTCAGTTACAAAATCATTACTAGAAAGTTGTTGGTAGCTGTGTGTTTTAAATTTTAAAAAGTTGGCAGCTTTACTAAATGCTGTTGCTTTTGAAACCACCATTTAAAGATAAAGCCCAAATTCTGCAAGAACCTTAGATTTATCATTAAAGTAAATAAGAGTTAAGCTAAATGTATTCTTACACTCTTCATAAACTTACTTTGTATATTTTTCAGCCTTCTCTTTTATACTGGTTTTAGTCTTCAGATTCATTCGAAACCTTCTGGTCCATACTTTGATTGCACTGGTTGTATTTGGGTTGTTGTGTAAGTATATTTTAATATATTTTTAGCATATACTTAGTTAAATGAATAATCTCACTGAACTGAAGGAGAGGCAGCTGAACAACCAGCTATCCTTTCATGGACCTATCATGGCCATCTCTGGTAACCTTAAGTTTACCACAGCCATTTTTGAGCTGAGCCCAGCTTGCCTTTGGATGCCAAGGTCTTGCTCTGCTGTTCCAGCTGCTGAGTGTTGGGATGATTATGATTTTTATTTTTTTATAGATGCCTGGAAACAGCATTTCAGTTGGCAGATGAATGCAGTTATGAAAATGCTACTGCTTCAAAGAAAGTTTAGAGAAGTTTTGCACTGCTTACCTTAGAAAAGGAGAACTGTAGGAATATTTCCAGCCAAAGCTGAAATTATATGCCTGAGCTCTAGAATAACTGCAAGAAAACCAAACCTTCTACTGTGGTTTTACCTCAGACTGACAGACTGCTATGTGAATTTTCTCTGCTCTTGTTGATACTGTGCCTTTCTGCTACACGGCAGTGTTGCTGAGCTGAGCGTGGGTTGGGCAAAAGGGCAAGAGACTCATGAGGGAGGCCAGGCAGACGTCAGCCTGCACACAGCCGCGTGCTTCAGTCTGGGGAGTGCTGCCTGCCTTCATGCTACTCCTGTTTGCTCAGTTGTCTCAGGTGTCCTCTGGTGGCTGTATTATGACTACAGGAACGATCCCAGCACTGAATTGGAAACAGAAAAGGAAAATGTAAAGTTTCTACTTGGATATGCTATCTTCTCAACCTTATTTACTGTAAGTAGCATTTTACCCTAAGCAGTGGCAGAGGCTATAGCTTGAAAACTTGAACTACAGTGGTTCTGCAGCAATAAAAATAATACCTCATTTCTTTCAAATTTGAAAATGAGAATCAATTATAAGATCTGCTTACACTAGTTTAAATAGTTTTATATTTTCATTGTGAAATTTATTTGTAAACATAAAGTTCTGCCACACTTCAACCCTGTACAAACAATGGTGTTTGGAAATGCAAGAATTGTGTTCCATCCCTGTTATTCTCTGCATCAGCTAACTAGAGAATCATATTGAGTGAACAGAGCACTAGCTCAATATGAACATGAGATTTGTGGATTCAGCCTACTCTGTCAGTAGGAGAAAAGAGTGGCAATGTTCGTAGGTAATGAAAGGTATAGTGAAGCACAGGCATCAGTGTTGAGGACTCAAGAATGGGTTAAATTCTACTTTTCTCTCATTAACCTTGTTTTACAACAGAAAATCTGAGCATGGTTTGCAACTTTTAAAGTGATTTTTTTCACTCTGATATTGTAATGTTGAAGATGTCATTGCTCTACATGAGTGTACAGACAATTTGCACTTCATGAGACATTTGTCAAAGTGATTGTTTGTTTTCTGAAAGGAGATTGGGGTCCATAGATTTACCAGATATGAACAGTCTTAACAGTTTACAGTGACAAATAGAAATATGTCACTGATTAGATTTTTTTTAATATCCTCTCTAAGTAAGAACTTTTTTACTTCTGTGGACACTAAAAAGGTAAGAAAATGTTCCTTTGTATGCATGTGTGTTCCAGTACAACTGACTATCATTTGCAGCACTGTGGAACATCTCCTGCTGCAGATTATGCTTTTCTTCAGAGCCAGTAAGTTCTTTCTAGAGCAGGCAAGAAAATTAGTGAAGCAGCTGCCACTGGTTACATGTATAATTTTATAGATTCCAGCCTCTCTTTTAATTGCTGTTCATAGATGCTTGTGATATATGAGGAACTGGGGAGTTGTGGGGATTTTGACTGGGATTTTGTTGTTGTTTGGTTGCTTGTTTTTTTTACATTGGGGCAAAAAAAGTGTGTATTTAAATTAAGTTTTATGTTATGTGTGCTTTGCTTCCATACATACACAGCCTTCAAATTAGTTTAGTTGTGCTACTGTCCTTTGTGCAGAAAAGGACAGGTTCTCCTACCATTGTGAACAGTGGCAAGCTGACCTGACTAGGAAGAAAGTTTCTATCTTCATGAAATATAGGGCATGTGAAAGGAATTTGTAGCATGTAACATACATTTGTGTTTGCTTTAAGCAAAACAGACTGTTTCCATTGAGTGAATTACAGTTTAATCAATCATATTTGGTTTAAAGAAACAGTAGTAATGATATCAGAAAATCAGATTTTAATCCACAGGCTTTGAGAATATAGTCAGTGTCTCAGAAAGCTTTTCAAGTGTACAGTGAGTTTGTGTAAAATGCCTTGCTATCATGTCTTTGTGAAATCTGTACCCCCTGATCCCACCTTTGACAACTCTGATAGCTTTCTTAAGGAAAAAAGCCAACTATTTGTCTTTATATCTCCCGTAACAGGTTGTTTTGCTTTCCCTTATACTTGTACTAAGGAAGAGGCTTCAGTTCACTGTACAGTTGTTTCGGATTGTTGGTAAAATCATAGGCAGAATTTCTTTCCTCCTGTTCCAACCACTCTGGACCTTTCTGATTCTTATTGTGTTCTGGATATTTTGGGTTGCTGTACTGCTTAGCTTAGGAACTGCAGGTAAGTTTATGTTTTCCATGCTTTTGAATGAATGCTGTTTCCTAAGTTAAACTCTGACATATGAAACCTGATGTTAGTGTACAAAATGTGGACTACCACACAGCTGTGTTACTCTTTCCTTTTCTTGTTTATTTTTTCCCCCCACTTGTATTCTTCAACATTGCCACAGTTCTGCAAGTCTTAGCACTACAGAAGAGAGATTTTTGCCCCATATGTGGGCTTTAGTTTTGTTCTTTCTCAATTACTTTATTTATAAATAGATTGTGCTAGATACAGTGTATGTTTGATGTGTTTAAATCAGGAAAGTAAGAGGAGGGAGGAGACAGCTTTTAGTACAGTTGTTATGAAATGAGAATGTTAATCTCCTCTGACTATAAACAATATCCGGTTGTCATGGAGGCAGAACATTATTTCTGAGCAGCAGTTTAGTTTTGCTATCATTTAGACTGGTAGAGCAGTATTTGGATTAATCCAGAAGTTCCTGCAATTGTAGGGGAGGTGCTCTATAGAAATAGTCAATCACTATAAAAGATCAGCAAGAACAGATTTTGAGTATGAGAGTGGTATTGAGGGATATACCACTATAAGGTCTGTCACTGAGTGAAGTGGGGTAATTTGGATGCTGGCCGTTGGCTCAGGATCATGCCATATAAGGGAGAGGGAGGTTGTTCTTACATGCAACATCATCCAAAGAAGAGAAGTTAAACTGTGTGTAGCTCTGGGGATAACTCCTTTTGCTGACATTAACCTTTGTAAATAGGAAACATTGTGATTTGAGGGGTTGGTGGCTTTTTCGTGTTTTTTGTTTGTTGTTTTGTTGTTTTTTTTTAAAAAACTTCTAGGGCCACTGCAAGGAGTCAGTTGTCCTTTGTGTTGGAGCTGATGCAGAGTTAATGTGAATAGAGATTTTTTTTTTTTTTTTTTTAATTCCTGTATTTATTAATGGCTTTTCTGTTTTTTTGAATCTTAGCAGTGGTTTTTGTGTGAAAAACAAACACAGCCTTGGTCTTCAAATGCTTATATGCTTTCCACCACCACTTGAGCTGAGCCCATTTGGCAAAACTGCCAGCATTCCCCACCTCTATGGGTCAGGTACCTCACTCCTCTTCCATCACAACTGCTTCCCTCTCAGTCCCATCCTGTTAATTTTGGCTCTATACAAGTCCAAATTCACTTATAACAAGTGTTTGTCTGAGTTCATTATGTCATTGCAAATCACTCACTCGTTGTTTAGGCTAGACTAGGATCTGTTTCCCTCCAGCTTTCATTGGAGACTCATGCAGGTTTGCAAGGTTTTCTCTGTTTCTGCTGTCTTTCCCCCAGTAGCTCATATCTGTCAGAAATGGCTGCTTGAAGCATTTGTCTGGCTGATGATATGCTTCTCCTGCAAAAGGGTCAGACCTAGCAAGGCTGAATCTCAAGCCTGCAGTCTCTTGGTGTGTTGTTTCTGGTTGACTAGATAGTTCAGCAGATCCACTTTGCTTTAGGTGTCATGGATATTCCTTCTCCACACTCCTCAGATTTGAATTTCCCCTTTACAAAGGCAGTGATATGTTCTAGACACGTGTGGTTGTTAGCTTTTCTGCAAATCCTTCATCCCATTCATGCACAGATCATCCAGGCAGCAGTAGTTTTCAAGCCGCCCATGCAAGGTACCTTATCACTGGTTCAGACCAGTCCTTTACAGAAAGGAGCAGCTTGGATCAAATGCAATTTATGATAAACGCTAACTGTAGTAAATCTAATATAAGGTAAATAAAATTAATCATAACACATGGATTTGCCAAATATACAATTAACAATAACTATTAGAGGAAGTGTTGCTTCCTTGATGTTAAGCTGGGCTAGCTCATTACCTGCAGGAAAATTCACTGGTGCTTTTAGTATGCATACATAGGATGTGGAGCTTGCCAGTGTTAAAGCTAAATTTAGAAAATGCCAGCTGAGTCTGCTGTATTCAAGAGCAGAGTATTCAAAAGCAGAGTAGAAATATTTTAGCTCATATAGGGAACTAGTCAGGTATTTCCTGGATGCTTTTACAGATTATGCAGGAGTGACTTGTACATTATTTCCAAAAGCAAATTCCACATGTATTCACAGGGAAATAAAACCCAATGACAGTTGCCTTTGTCAGGCTTTTGTTATTTTTCCATGTTGTGCCATTTTCCTTCATTGGTTCTTCTCTGTTTCCTCCAAGACATTTCCATTCAACCTTTTTTTTTTTTTTTAATGCTTGCTTGGAGAGTAGGATTCAAACAGTTTGTGACATGCAGTTACATTCATAGAGCAGCACATCTCCTGACTCAAATATGGTTTATTTATTGTCTTCTCCCTAGCATAATAAGAGTGCTGATGATCCAGTGAGTGATACAAGCTCTACAGTGCAAAAGGCAGCCCATCTTGCTACACCGGAGAGCAATGTTCAAGTTTCTAGAATGCTCTCAGTTTTGAAATAACTTACTTTTTGCAGATTTAGCATAAGAATGGAATGTCATTTCCAGGCACTTAACTGTCAATGTATTTCTCATATGAACAATCTAGTAAACCATCCATTTTGACTGAGATCTTCTGACAGGTTATTTTTAGTGTAGATGTCAATCCTTGTAAGATTTTTCTGTTAATAGTTAGGGATTTCATATTTAGAGGGCAATATGCGTTTTATAAATAAACCAAACCAATTCTAAGTTACAGCCTAAGCATAAACACAGACAGAAAAATGCCACACTATGTATTCGATTATTTTTCTGGTTCGAACTTGGTTCTATTAATTTTATCATTGGTATTTGTAATTACTCTTTTTGTTGAGCTGTGTGTGTTAAGTGGTGGCTGTCGTTACCCAGGAGGTGTAAACGGAGATCTTAGCAAAGTCTAGAGCCTGAGGTTTTTATGTAAATGACGGGTAATTGATCTGCAGCGGCGTTAGTGCCCGCTAGGTGCCGATAAAGTAGTGTGGGAATCTGAATCTGCTCAGTTGTTTACAGCTGCTCTGATTACATAGTAACTCCTCCTGGAAGGACTTAGAAGACAACAAAGGCAACTTTAGCCTTTTAATGATCTGGGAAGGTAGTGATTTATTGTTTTATCCAGTTCTCAGGTTGAGAAGATTTGTCGAGGTGACACAGGAGGTGTCAGCAGGTGTGACAGCTGTTTGGATTTCCAGTCCCACACACTCCTTTAGATTTGTTTTGTAGGTCAAAACTTGAACAAATTAATAGTAAACTAGATTTGGTATTGAGAATCTTCCTTTAGATTTTATTTTAATTTTTCAACCCAAATATGAATCCCCTGAAATGCTGCATGTTAAAGCAGCTTACAGGAAGGTGGCTTACAAGCAGGTAGCTTGGTGGGGGTTGTTTTGCTGTTCTAGCATGACTAGTACTTATACATCCTGGTGAAGGACTTAGAGAATAAATCTTATGAAGAATGCTTGAAAGAGCTGGAAATGTTTAGTTTGAGAAAGAGGAGGCTGAGGGGGGACTTCATCAGTCTCTACAGCTACCTGAAAGGTCATTGTAGTGAGGTTGGTGCTGGTCTCTTTTCACAGGTAATTAGTGACAGAATAAGAGGGAATGGCTTCAAGCTGCAACAGAGTAGGTTTAGGCTGGACATTAGGAAAACATTTTTCACTTAGATAGTAGTCAGACACTGGAATAAGCTGCTCAGGGAGGTGGTTGAGTCACCATCCCTGGGTGTGTTTAAGGGTCATTTGGATGTGGTGTTGGTGGATATGGTTTAGGGGAGAACTTTGTAGAGAAGGGATGATGGTTGGACTTGGTGATCCCAAGTGTCTTTTCCAACCAGAATGGTTCTGTGATTCTATGATTTATAGCATCTTCACATCTTTCAGCTCTGAGGCACTGGATCCTCGCTTCAGCTGTGGTGCACTTGATTATTATGCAACCACTGACACCTTATTTACATCACTTCCAAAAGTTAGTGTTACTCTGAGGAAAGATTAACTTTGCTATAGCAAACTATAGCCTGCGGTTGGAAAAGTATTTATGCACATGACTGACTTGAAACACATGGGTAATCGTACTAAAATCAGTGGGACTACTTAGGCATTTTAAGGTAGGCAACTGCTTAAGTACCTCAGTAATTCAGAATCTCTAAGAGCAGGAGAGATGGAGTGAATTCCAGACCTAGAATACTAGGAGAAATGCCAGATACCATGAGACTTGAGACAGCACAAGCAGTGGCACCAGTTAGAACCATTAGCTGCCTAGGAATGGAATTCAGCTCTGCTTTGGAAAAGCTGATATGTCTTAGAGTCAGTGAGTCTTATTGTTTGCTAATTTTTATGGCTTTTCACTGCCAAACTGAAGTGACCATGTGGCCACAGCAAAGCATGTCTTTCAGCTTTCCAGCATGTGGAAGCTGTGAATTCCACATGGCATAAATCATCTGCATGTAATATAGGATGAGAAGGGGGTGTGAGATTTTTGTGTAATGAAGGTGCATCCTATAGGCAAGTGAGCAATAAAACTGCCACATAAAGATGTGCAGTAGCAAAACCAGCAATAAAAATTTATGTCCTGCAAGGTCTTTGACATTCCAATTACAGGCAGCTAGCTTAGCTGTAAATGCCACTACATGGAAAAAAGCTAAGTAAAATAACACAGTAGATTCTGTTGCAGAAAATGTGAAGATTCAGTGTATGATGCCAGAAGCTTTCCTCACTTAGCAGTGGGAAGGGCACATCATGTTTTCATAGTAACTGGAACTGATAAACAGGCTGTCAGTATATTCTGGTCAGTGGTTCTTTGTTTCTGATAAGGAAATTGCTGAACTAGACTTCCCAGGGATTTTCATTCCTTACAACAGCCAATGGCTCCAGGCATCAGCAAAACCTTGCAGCAAGACTTGCAAAAATAAGAGCATCTAACTTAAGTCTGAAAATACCAAAATGTTACTGTGAATGCACACTGCCTTGCATCATTGCACAGCTGCATAATTAGATGGAAAAACCCTCCTGAATTCTTCTGCAAATACTTGTGTCTGTTTGCATTGTTAACAACACTTCTTTGAAGTATTTGCAGCTCATCAACATTTGTACTGATCAGAGGTTTTCAGATTTGGTGATTCAGCTGTAAGGACTTCAGTTCTTTACTGAATCCTTAGTGTTATCACTGAGAGTGTATAGTACACCAGAAAGATTCATGGTTAAGTACTTGGAGAAAAATGTTGACAAATGAAACCATCTTTTAAGGCTTTGTTGTGAAAGTTTAGCTTGTGTGAGCAGAGGGATTGCAGTGGAGTGATAAGAAAAATGGCATATACCTTTCTCAGCATAGTATCTAGGATAGCTTTAAAATTTGTCTGTGCTACTAAAACCGACATATGAAAAAGTAACACTATTTGTAATTCTGTTGACAAAATTACACATGCATGGTAGGCACAGAAGACAGGGAGTCAGCCAGAAACAGGTTTCCATGAGGTAGCAAGAACTGTTTACCATATCTCAACAGCAAAATGATCAATAGTGAACTCGCAGGTGAATGTGCCTGATTTCTGAGCCGCAGAGCACAATGCTGTGCACATGTCTGAGGTTGGCCAGGAAAGACAAAGCCATTACTGTTGTTACTGCAGATGATTATTTCAGTAGGCTGGTAAAAAAACCCCAAAAACCAAACAACCAAAACAAAAAACAAAACTGAAACAAAATTAGTTTACCATACCTACATTTGTTAGTCTTCATGACAAAAGCAAAGCCTGAAATGTGCCTTTTTTTTTGGAAATGCTCAGTTGGATTGTATGGTGGAAAATGTGCTTAATTCTGCTACCAAGTGACAGAATGTCTCTGAATAAAAATGGAGAAGTAGGACACTTTCTTGTATCACCTTTATCTGTAACTTGCACAGGCTTCCCCAGTAAGGGTTAGAGGCTGTGATTAACTGGCATATTTGGCTAGTTGGCAGTCTAGAATCTCTGGAAGTAAGGAAGTTGAAAAATCCCTTTAATTCTGAACAAGAAAGAATGGTATAGCACATAGCTTATTTTAATATACCAAAGTAAATGATCTATCCTCAAAAGTTCATTCCGCAAAAAGAAAAAAACCAAAACTAACAATTTTTGCATCCAAACTTAAAACCAGTGGAGAAGAGATTTGAGTAGCAGCTTTTTCACATCATCAAGTATTTTGCAATAAACAGACTCAAAATACATTTGAATATAATGGAAGCAACAGTATTTTTGTGAATGACAAAGCATACAGCAATGCAAAGAGCATGCCTGTTTAGCTAGAATTCCCTTCAGAAAACAAGACACCTAGAACTTATGGCTGTGTTTGTGCTTCAGCAAAGGCTGCCTTGATGAGAAAGCTGGATAGGGTACCTACAACCTCCTCCTTGAGGCCAGCTGTAGATAGATTCAAATCTTGATTGCAAGAGTGCTGGGAATAAGATTAACTCAGCTCTGGGAAAAATGCTTAGTTTGTATGCTATAAATCTATTAATATACTTTTCTTTTTGCCCTTGACCAGAAAATAGCTCTTCCCTGAGCATCTAAGAAGGATGAGTTTCTTGTAGTGCTAATATAGGAGTAAAGTAATTAAATTCATTTTATGCAGGTACATATTTAAGCTAGCCATATAATAATTACGCACCCATGTAGTGTTTTTTGATCCTTTCAAAGCACTTTAAAATAATTTTGCAGTGCTATTATTCAGTAGGTGAATATTTTTCATAATTTACAGGCAAATCGACCTTGATTCTGGAGGCTTATAAAGCTTGTCTAAACCTGATGGTGCTGCTGAAAGCAAATCTCAATCATTTCTGCTCTTAGCTATTCTTGAGTATGAACTCTAAGGCTATAGAAAAATAGAGCAGAAGTGAACCATTTTGTAGATAGCTTTAAATCTGTGGTAGTTTAGAACTTGAAGTTGAGTACTATACTGTGGGAGAACATGAAGTATTAAAGCTTAAGTTACAATGCTGTTCTAGCACTAACAGGTAATTTTATGTCTCATATTGTTATTTCTTTCATGGAGTTAGAATAAGAAACTGCTCACCTCCAGAGATTTTGTTATGTGAACATGTTTATCTTTAAGGTTAATAGACTTAAGGCTTGCTAAACTAAAAAAACCCAACAAAACAGGTTATGGACCTAGGGACAAGTGTCCTGATGCCATTATGCCCGGACTAGATTTCAGAGTCAAGTGGCCTAAATAGAATTGCACAGAGAACAGTCTGGTTGCTAAGTTATCCGAGTTACCCTCACCTTTTGTGAACACCCATCTGTTGAATATGGAATAAACTTTTCATTATTAGTACAAGTGAAGCATTTGTGTTTTGGTTTTTTTTTAAGCTTGAATAAGCGAATTTGTCAATGTTCTTGAATAGAGGAGTAACATTGGAGCATATCCTACCATATAGATATCTAGTTTGTGGTTGTTGTGTTGGTTTTTTTCCTAGAGACCACCTTTATGTGCCTGTATTTTGCACAAAGATTGCAAAGTATTGAGAACAGAAAATTATTTGCCATTATTCTAATTAGTAATTAAAATAATAATTTTTATTTGTTGCAATAGTATGGATCCTCCATGTTTTTTCTGCAGTCTTTCTCTTGTGCTTCTTATTAAAAAAACCTAAAACATTTCATAATGGACTATGAATTTATTTGAATTTTGAATGAAGAAAATTTCCTTTACTTCTGAAGCACTGGCTTATTTGAATCTTGAGTAATGTTTTCTCAGAAATCTTTACTAATATGTAGCTATTCTCTTGATTTTGTTGGCAACTGTTGCAGTCCCAATTTAAACCGAAGCTTTTGCTTTTTGTAAGATTTTGTTTTTCGAAATTCTCTTTGAGTTACAGAATTTTGGCTTTCTGACTTTGTTAGATCAGATAGAGTTAAATAGCAGCTGATTTTGGGTTTTTTAATAATTTTATTGAAGAAAAGTTAAGAAAAAGAGTAGAAAAGCCCTTATATGTACTTCTTTTTTTCCTTGTCTGATGCATTATAATAATACAATGGTGTAACCCCAACTCCAGGTACTGCGCAGAGTACTTCAGGAGGACAGGTAGAATACAGAGGTCTGTCTGGAATTTCCTACATGGTGTGGTATCATTTCATTGGCCTCATCTGGACTAGTGAATTCATTCTTGCTTGTCAGCAAATAACAATTGCAGGGGCAGTGGTTGCTTGTTACTTCAACAGGTGAGTGCAGAATTATGGCCGTGTAGTATTGAGAATTCTCCACCATTTATTTTCAGTCTTTTTCTGAGCAAAATAGCCTCAAATTTTACTGCCATTTATGTCAATATCTCGAGATTCAATTTAATACAAAATAGTGTTGCTTGTTGAGAGATCTTGCGTAAGATTTTACATTGTGTATTATATTAATCTGACTCACCCCTGCTGTTCACTGCTTTGATACAAGCCAATGGAGCTCAGCTGACTCTGGTGAAATTGCCATTCATAACGCATAAACTGCATTTGACCCTTTTCCAGGAGACTGCATGAGCTCCAAATGGAGATGCAATATATAGCTCCTCAGTAATTTCATGTATTTATAGGCAGTTTGACCTCTTCCTAGGTGTTCATCCATGCTCTGGGTTTCCATTTGTTCTGACTGTATAAATATCTGGTCTGCTACTCTTTCTTTCATTCTGTGCAGGTGCTTTCAGTTAACGGTAAATGCTTTAACACTACTGTTAAGAATGTAGAGGTGTAAACAAACTGTCTTGATTGTATTTTGCCTTAAAATGTAAATGTGGTGGAAATGGGGAAAAATCTGTACTTTTCTTGATTTATACTGTTTTTTAGACTTGCAATTTTGTAAAATGAAATTATATTGATTCCATGCACTGAAGCAGAGCTACACTGTCATTACAGGGGAAGATTTAAATCTCGCAATATGTTGTTGAGTTTTTTTGACAATGAATAGGGTATTATCCTGAGAATATTTTTCCTCACAGGTATTTTATGAGCTCTCTCACCCTCATTGCTCTGTCCCTCTGTGCCCAGTGATGAGATTTTCTGATCTGTGAAAGACTCTGGCATTTTAAGGCATTTCTTAATTTTGTACTAGAGAGATATGATGATAATCTCAATTTGTTAGGAAATTATCCCATGAGAAAGGTGACCTGGGAGCATTCTGGGAAGCCTGTCCCTTGGGAGGGGGACCCTGAAGGACTGGCTGCAGCTACCTGGGACGATTTGACTCAGGTGGCTAAGAAGGGAGGCTTTGAGCTTCTCCAAAACCTAGGTAACAGGTTTCTGTTGATAGTCTCTAGAATGTAGCCCAGCATGTTTCAGTTGCTGACAGAAAGGCCTCCTGCTGGAAGGTTTCCAAATGGTCTGTTCGCCTAGCAGAGACAGCAGCACAGAGCCTGCTTGCAGGAGTGATTCTGTAAGGATTTCACACTGCAGCTGACACAGCCAAAGCAGCAAAGCTGCAAGACCTGGTGACAGGTTTTGTTATCTCATCCAAAAAGCTAAAGCAGGGCAGTGTTTAACGTGTATCAGAAGCCAACAGACATGCCATTGAACTGATGCTAGTAAAAGAGCAGACAAAATCTAAAATGCTGCTTTTTTCAAAGGTTGAGATCTATACACAGTCTTTTACATGTCATGATAGGATCAGACAAGAGAGGAACTCGCATTTCTTGCATCGTCTCCTTTTTTCCTCTTGAAGCTCTGAACATGAGTAAGTAGCATGGTTGTGGTCCTGTGGGTAATGGACTGCATTTTTCTTCTAAGCAAATTTGTGTTCCTCAAGCTTTAGCGATGGATTCAGCTGTAGCAGCTAAATCCTGAGGCACTAAGGGTTCATTTAAATTGGCTTGCTTGAAAAGGCACAGGAAATAAAAGCAGTTTCACTGACTTACTGGGTTGTGCACTGCAGTGCATTTTGGTACCATACACCATCTAAATTCCCAAGGTATAGACACTGTGCATCTATTCTTCACAAAGAGCAGAGAAGCACCTGTAGAAGCTACTGTGGTAACATTTACTGCTCTTTATCTTCTGCTTTCCAGCAATTTTTTGCTGCTGCAGGAACTGGCTGCAGAGTACAAAAGGTTCCTGTACCCAATTGTATTGAAATTATTTTGTACATCTACTGTCAAGCCCTTGTCTTGCTTGCCAGGTAACTTGTACTGTGCTGAGAGAGTTGTACTTGGAAGGGGAAATACAATTTTTCTGTGATGATGATCCCTGTTCCTGCATTGAGGCTCTCAGCACAATTCTGTCGAAACACAGAGCAGTGCAGGAATGGGGAAAGGATGGTTAGCTGCAAAAGCTGTCACACCATCAAGGGCAAGGGTTATCTTGCAGCTCTGAGCTTGTCTGCTGTGTGTTTTTGATGTATTCCCTGGGGCACCATGTAAAGGCATGTCACAAGAGTTTGTTTATCATACCTCACAGAGAGGCTTTCTTCTTTGCTTGTAAGCGCTCTGAGGAAATGGCACTGCCTTTCTCTGCGGAAATTGACTTCCACAGCACACACAGCAATGTGCTGCATGGCCAACAGTCACCATGGAGTTGCAGATGGGGAAGGCAGAGGGCTGTTTCAGCTGGGTTAGCTTTACAGGTGACATATTTGACCTCTAATACCATCACTGAAAATGGATTTTGTCTCCTTTTTTTTTTTTTTTCAGGTGAAACATGAATACATGAAAGATGTTATTAATTTAATAAAATAAATAGAACTTTTTTGCTTAGTGATTACTTTTGGTGACTTGTGAAAAGGGGTCAGACTTTTAAAAAACTTTCTTTGTTACTGTTTCTGTTTTGCATGAGAGTTTATTTTAATCTTGGTGTTATAATGCGTATTTACTTTCCAGCGACACGAGGCTTTTTCTCTCTCTGGGATTAAAGGAAAGTGGTATGGTAACTTGGCCCATGTCACAGGCATCTTTGTCCTGTCCATGCTGGTGTTTATTGAGTAATTCCAATGCATGCATGTTACTGCACAGGGTGAAGTTAAGGAAGGATATGAACATTTGCAGGATTGGGATTTTCCACTTGACTCTAAAATGGTCAGCACCACAACTGGCAATAGATTCAGTGAGAACTGAAACACATAGATCACTCTGTAAAACAAAAAATCCAGGTTTGTGGATTTGCATCATTGACAGATGAATTAGGACTAATTTTTTTAAAGGATTCCTCTTCTCTCTTCAAATACATGTGCAGTATTTATGAACATCCTCTGCCCTGCTTACATACTTGACCTAACTCATGTTAAGGAGCTGTCAACATGTATGTAGCCAGACCTGTCCCTTGTGGTTTTGAGAGCAGGTAAAAGGGCATTTTGAAGTACAGTCTGTGTGTTGTCTGTTACTCTGACAATGTCTCTTTTATTACAAATCTTGTAGTTAATTATATTTGTTTAAAAACTGTTTCATATTTACATATAGGATTAATTCCTGAAGACTTTTGAAGTATTTTATACAAAATCTCCTTTTATGCAGTCTTTGAAACAAATGAGACAGGATGAAATAAAACCATAAGCACAGATCTGAAAAGGACAAACTTTAAAAAAAGGCTTTTTTTTTTTTTTTCCCCCTTTCAAATGTCTGTGTCTTCTGGGTGTGTAAAGATTACTTTTTTTTTTTTTTCACACAAAAAAGTGGATTAAAAATGAAAGCTGTGATGGATGTGGATGGATTTAATTCAAGGCACTCAGTGTTAAGAAAGATACTGAGTATCACACAGTTCACAAAAAATAAAGATAATTGGCAGCATTGACTAAAGAAAATTCTTAAAAGATTACGTGCTATTGAGTACAGGTTCACAGTTTTTTGGAATAGCAGTGTTCTGTGTCAATCAAACAATCCTGTGGTAATATAAAATAGGAATACCAAAAAGGAAAAGCAAATTGTGGCCCTAATCAGTCTTGTGAAGTTTGTCAGGCACATTCATGTTTTTCCCTGATACCTTGTGTGCATATGGTGGAGTCTGTGTGCACAGAAGTCTCTGCACAATGAACTGCCTACAAAGCCTTGTGCACATGGCTGGCTGCTATGCTTGTGCTAAGGTCAGTTCAGGATTGTGGCCGTATGATACACAAAGCTGGATGAAACTTCATCCTTAAGGATAATTGGGTGGATGGTTGAGCTTGTTTAGAGCCACAAGCATCCTCTGTTCTGTTCAGCTAGCCATTTTACTATGTTTCCTACCCTGAGCCAGAATTACAAGGAAAATCTTTGTTCTTTTTCTATCTGTTTGGAAACAAAGCAAGAAACCTTGTCAGACCATGTTCTTGTGACAATTCCTTCACTAGGAAAGAAACTGTGGAAAAGTTTCCAAATGTGTAGAAATTTATCTAAATTTCAAATTCTGAGATTCCTGCTCATTAATCAGTCCTGTTACGAATATCAAAACTCTTCTTCATTTTTCACTAGTGAGTAAATTATTAAGATAAAGTTTGTCCTTTCTGTATTTCTCACCCTTAGTTAATGTTTAAGTTGCATAAACTTAATTTTTACTGTTCTGAGAGCTAAATAGGACTGTCACATGTAAGGTAGTACATGAGGGAAAAGGAAGCAATGGTACTATATGGATAGAAAAACTCATCTGTATTGGACTGTCCGTGTTTCAAACCCAGAAACCTAATGACTTCAAAAGACAAAACTGCCATATACAGTATAGAATTCTACTATTTCCCAAGCTGTTCCCTCAGTTTTAAGACCAAAAGTAATAAATGCAGCAAGTACTTTGCTGGAATTTCCTATTCAAAACAATGTGGTATATTCACATTTTAAAATACAACTTCTAGGCTGCTGAGTATTTAGTGTTTTGAATGAACTGCAGTCATACCTTCAGGATCCTTGCAGAACTGTGATACCTATCTTGACAAAGCATGTATGATTTAAATTCTTGCTGAAGTGAGGATTTAATAAAAGCGTATTTGTAGAGGTTTTTAGCCCCAACCAGTCACTGTTACCACTGCCTTTTCATTTTTTTAGTTTCTTGTGCAAACTATGGATTTCTCAAGATAACAGAGGTTTTGAAGGAATCACTTACAAAAACAGGACATCTTATTTGCAATAAAAGGTCTGATCTTTACTTAAGTACTTAGTCAAACTGCTGCTGATTCTCTTGCCTAAGTAAATTTTTCATGGTTGGGTCAATTGCTTAAGAGTTGCTGTATAGTAGGGCTGTTTATGATTATTGACCAGTAAGTTTTTTAATCCTCTGAAAGGACTTTTTTAGCTATTTATAATGTTAATGTAATAGATTTAATTTTTTACAGCATTTGAAGAGGGATGAGGGAGTGGCTTTAAGTTGATTTCCTGGTTTTCATACAAATTCTTGAGAGGTGTGTCATACTACTCTCTGTAAATGATTGACATTAATATGACCTTTACAAAGAAACCAAGAAAATAAAACTTGTATTTGGGATTCTTAGGCCAATTTTCTGTCTTTGCTTTTCAATTTTGAGAAACGCATTTCTTCGGAATAATAGAGGTTACTGTGCAGTTGAATTATAAGGTTTTTAATCGTAATTCTAAACATATAGTATGCTATTCCTTTTTTGTGTGTTCCATTTTAAAACAAATCCTGTTCAGTGACAAAGTGTATTAATTATCTAAACAATATTTAAAACAAAATTCAGCCAAATTGCAATAATAGAAGTAAATAGTAGATCTCAATTTTGCACAAGATCTTGTGATATTTTTCCTAGTTTTAATTTTACCACTAAAGCAGAAATAGTGGGTTCATTCCTTCAGACTAAAATCTAGCAGAAACAACAGTCAAATAAAAGATTGCAGAGGATAAGAGAAGTGATAGGAGTTGGGGAGGGGTGCTCAAGGAAATATTCTCAGACATTGTTCACTTACTTCTGGTATTTTCCATTGTAAGTTTTTCTAGATATTTTTCCATTACTGAATATATCAAAACATTAATTGCTTAAGAGTTAAACTAATCCAATAGAAGTTAGAAACTTGGCTGCTTTCCTTTGGATCAAGGTGAATGTTCAGATGAAGTCAGTAGGAAAACTGGAGTTGTTCAAGTGGGAAAGGAGATACCAGCTTAATTCCTGAAATTTCCAAATACTGAAAAGATACAATGTGTATCTTCCTAAATGAGTTTTAAATGACTTTACATTGTTTGTTTTTCCTTCTAGAAATAAAAAAAGCCCACCACGTCATCCAGTCCTGTCTTCCATATCAGTTCTTTTCTGCTATCATCTAGGAACTGCTGTGAAAGGCTCATTTCTAATCACAATGCTGAGAATACCAAGGATTGTTCTCTCTTACCTTTATAATATCCTAAACCAAAAGGTAGGTATGTACTTCTGTAATACTATAAAAATAATAGTTTAAAGGTGAGATTCATGAAAAAAATCTCTTGAAGAATATACTTCTTGCTTAAAAATTGATTATATTATATCAAATTTTGGGTTTTATCCCATTTTCTTCATTAAGAAAGCTCCATGTGCTTCCTTTTTTTCTCAACTCAGATATTTTTTGAAGCAGAAAATACCACTGTTAAAACCTCCCTTTATTTTGTTTATATATAAAGGTTTCTGTGAGGGGTAAAGGAAAAATTTGACAGAATACTCTATTTAAAATGTTTGCATCATACGTTTAAAAAAAGAAAATATAAGTACAGAAGATATTTCATCTGTCTTGTGATAAGAGTTTATAGAAAGAAGGGATGAAAGAAGACTGCAGGCTGTGGTAAGTGCCTGGACATCTTGCACGGGGCAAGGTTAAGTGGGAAACCTTCGTATATAAGGTGTGCTGAGGTGGAGGACCTCCTGCAGCAGGTGACCCAGCTGAAGGAAATGCTGAAAAGGCTGCGTAACATCCGCGAGGTAGAAAAGGAGAGAGCTGGATCCAGGCTCTCTACGGGCTGATAGGTGCAGCTTCCCATTCACAGGCTATGATCCTCAACTGCCCCTACATCTGCTGCAGGGACAATACAGCAAGGCACCAGCAAACCAGGAAGTTTCTGGAATGCATTGATGACAACTTCCTTTTCCAAGTGGTAGAGGAGCCAACTAGAAAAGGTGCTGTGCCGGACTTTGTTTTCATCAACAAGTGGAGAATGTGAAGCTTAAGGGCAGCCTTGGCTGCAGTGACCATGAAATGGTGGAATTCAGGTTCTGGACTTCAGGAGAGCAGATTTCAGCCTCTTCAGGGATCTTCTTGGTAGAGTATCATGGGATAAAATCCTGAACGGCAGAGGAGCCCAAGAAAGCTGGTCAATATTCAAAGATTACCTCCTCCAAGCCCAGGAGCAATGCATCCCGAGAAAGACCTGCATGGATGAACAGAGAGCTCCTGAACACTCTTAGATGAGAAAAGAAAGTCTTCAGAGGGTGTAAGCAATGATAAGTAGGCTGGGAGAAATAAAAAGAAGTTGTCTGAGAAGCCAGGGTCAGGTTAGGAAAGCTGAAGCCCAGGTAGAGTTAAACCTGGCCAGGGACATCAAGGGTAATAAGAAGGGTTTCTATAGGTACATCAGTGATAAGAGGCAGAAGTGGGGAAAATGTGGGCCCTCTCCAGGAGGAAAGAGGAGACCTTGTTGTCATGAAGGATATGGAGAAGGCTAAACATCTATTTTGCTTCAGTCTTCACTGGGCTGGAGCACTTCTCCTATGAAGACAGGCTGAGAGAGTTGGGGCTGTTTAGCCTGGAGAAGAGAAGGCTCTGAGGAGTCTGCCTGTTTTGTTCTCCAAGTAGCTGTTAGCTCACAAAGCTGCTTACAGCATTTATTTTCCTTTCTCGGAGAAGATTCTTCCATCTACAGGAAGAAAAAAATATACTCAGCTTGTCAGTCATTAATACTGAAGTCTGAATTAAAAATAATTCCTTAATCCTAAATGAAATATCTGCTGCCTAAGTGAATGCTTTATTAGAAGAGTCTGTCCCCGAAAAGCAAATTTTTCTAAAATGGCAACTTTGTTTGAGACTAATTCTGTGTTGAGTAACCAGACATTTCATTTTATTGCAGGAGAGTACATGTGCAAAATGCCTGTTCAAGTGCTGTTTCTGCTGGTTTTGGTGCCATGAAAGTTGCTTAAGATACTTTAACCAGGTACACTGTGATTTCTCTGTCACTCAACCACCTGCAGACTAGTGTGGGAACTGTGCTCCATTTAGCACAAGTAAAGCAACATCCAGTGCTTGTAAACCAAAGTTTCCTGCTGCCCACCTAAACTAAATAAACAAGTCTTCAAACAGAAATGGAACTTGATATAAAGAAATAGGGGAATGACAAACATGCAAGGTGCAAAATTTTAGAAAACTTCTTAATACAGCTGAGATAGCCCTTTCAGAGGCCCATTTCTGAAAGTAAGAAGGCTTAACATTTTGTTGAGTTGTGCCAGAGAGACTACTGAAATACAGGTGGGAGAAAGCAATGAGGAAGTAAAAAACCCACCTGGAGATGTATCATTAAACTAGATACAGTATTTTCTACCTGAAAGTCCTGAATAAAGAAACTTGAACTCCTGGCTGAGTTCTATTATCAGTATGCTTGGGAATATGATCCATGATGAAAAAGCCAGATAATATAATATTGTTTTCCTTTGAAATATCTTGGTTGTTGTTTTTTTTGTTAGCAGTTTTGTTTCAAAACTGTTTTTACTAGAAATGGATGATTTCTGACATACAGCAGTTTTTCAGATACTCGTACTTTCTCCATCTTGATCCTTTTCTCAAAATGTTTTTCAATTTTATATACATCATTGTAGATAGTTAATTTTTCTCTTTGTCAGTCCCCTTTTGTTATCTCTAGTGACTGAGGTGTTCTTAATGTGAAAGGTAATCAGATGTTCATGCTGATTCCTAACTCTGACTGTTTCACTCTTTGTTCTTGTTGCAGAGGGCGGTAGTGAAGTAAACAAGGCAATTCTGATAAAGGGTCTGACTTATCTTCTAAAGTAGGTGGATAAGTTAAGTTTCACCATGCACAACTATGAATAGAAAGTTTTCCACTTAGTTCAGCCTAGATTAAATACTTATGCAGTGAAACCTCTGGTTCTAGACAATTTTCCAGAGTGGTGTTTTAAGTAGAACTTATGGTCACTGACTTGGTGAGGAATATCAGAGTTCATTTTGACTCCACGCTTTCCATTTTTAGTCACCCTTTCCCCTTCACTTCCTGCCTTTCAAAGAGAGATCCAGCATCCTAGTGTTTACTTTCTCCAGCTGTTGTGTGCTGTGTGTTTTTCAGAAGTAGAATTAATTACTGTAATGTTCTTCCTTTTGTTTCAGAAGGCTGTATTGTAGCTCTTGTTCCCTTAGAAGATTTCCTGTTTCCTCATCTATTTTAGGCAAACTTCTGTTTTTATATGACTTGTGGTTTTCAACCTAATGATCATAATACTGTGTTTGCTGTTAGATAATTGTTTGTTTTAACATCTTTTAGCAAAGATGATGATGTTTCATGTGCTCCAAATTCAAGGTTATTTGGGTGATGGTTAGACAAGAAGAAAAGCAAGAATGTGCTCTAATATTTTAATATAAATTTTATCGATATGAAGGAGTAGCACTGGTCTTGGGTTATTGCATTTTGTAGAGTAGTTCATGTTGGTCTTTGGTTTTTTGTTTGTTTGATTTTGTTTTGGTTTTGTGTTTTTGTGTTGGTTTTTTTTCCTATTCAGAATGTATTTGAGCCTGTTTATTTAAAAATATATTTTTACTATGATTGAAAACCTTTAGCTTCAATTTGGTAAAATCTGCAGCTGAATGTAAATTAAAAAAAAAAAAAGTCAGGTCTCCAGTTTTAAACAGTTTAACATATGGCTTGATTAACAGAAGTAATGAACTCTTAAGAGCTCTTACTAAGATCAGTGAAAGCTGCTGGGTACAGCCTTTAAGTTTCACATATGTGTTGAACATGGACTTAAGAATGGGACTTGGGAGGGGTTAAAAATATGTTTAATATTTTGAAAGGATTTTTTAGTTCAGATTCTGATTTTTGTGTGAGTTCAAATTACTGAAATGTGGAACAGCTGTTATAAAATTTGGTCCAAAGCTCATTGTTTGCCTTAACATTCCCTACTATATTTTTGTCTTTTACTCTAGTGTTACTTTCACTATCGTAATAAGCATACAATTACCTGAAATGCCAAAAAAAAAGCCTTCCCCATCACTTCTGCACGATTTTCTTCACCCTGTTGTTATACTGCTTAGATTATTTAAATTCTTTCTGCTCCTTCATTCACAAGTTTAATGAGGATTAAACTGAGCCCCTTGCTTTCCCTCTGGGCAACTTGCAGATGAGAAACAGGTGCTGGAGGAAATAACACAGGTGATAGAGAGCAAGCTGCTTTCTTCCTATGCAGTATCAACCAAGTGCTCTGTTATGTTATCAAAGAATACTTTTTGGGTTGAGATGCCATCTTTCAGGTGGGATTTAACACTAACTTTGATAGTTGCATGGATCTCTGAAGTGACGTGTTCTTTATAGGCTCAGCTAAGCTTTGTTCAGCTCTCCTGGAACTTAGCTGAAGTGGGGCCACAAACGTACCCCATCATCTTCCTGTCATGACAGTGCTGTGCTTGGCACTGGCAGTTACCATCATTCCAATTGCAGTGGTTGGAGGAAGGATAATGTAAACCCAGTGTCCCGTGCAGATTGCAGTGTGCATAATTACATTCTGCCTTCCCTAATTTCTCTTGGATTTGCAACTGGATCGTGTGCTAAACTGTGGTGTAGTGTTGCTATGTGCTGTTAAACAGTTCACTCTTAAGCTGTTCCATTTCAGTCATGGACAAAGTGATTCATGTGTGTGCATAATCCATTAGTAACAATTGTAAAGCACTCTGGGTTCTGTCTGGATGAAAAGTGCTTTGTGAATATAAAGTCATTATCCTTACTTGAAAGTTCTGTTTGCCAACACTTGTCAGAATTACCACCAATTTTTCATCTTCTGGCTCCAATTGTTTCAGTATGTTCCAGATAAACATATCCAATCTTCTCAAGTAAAATCTGAGAGACTGAAATTTCTCTTCCATAAAAATGAATATACTGGGTTTTTTTAATGTGGTTTGGGAGCTACAAGGTCTGTCTGTCTCCTGCTTTCTTAAATAGTAGTGGCAGACTTAACTTGTGATATATCAAAGCGCTCACTTTTTTTTTTTTTTTTCCTTTACAGCCATGTTGCAGTGATTATTTTTTTTTAAATAATATATCTATTTCAGGATAGTTTTGCTTTTCTGTGTCTGCTTTGGGTTCATCTGCAGCCAGTTGGCAAGTAACAGCTCCAAAGTGCTGCACATGGAATTCTGAAGGAGTTGCTGAGCAGTGTGTGGTTTTTCTATTTTCACCAGCACAGTTACTTGCAGTGTAGCTTTCTGGGCCCTGTGGTAGCCATTACTGAAGTCAGCAGTATGTTAGCCTGCATTTGCTGGAGCTGAGATCCTTCACTGATACTGAAAGCCAGCCAGCAACTGTCTCATGCAAAAAAACCCAAAACAAACCAAGAAAAAAAAACAGAAAAAAAAAAACCCAAACCTCCATCAAAACCAAACAAAAACCACAAACCCCCCCCCCCAAAACCCAGGAGATCATCTGTCTAATTGTTGTATATCCATGGCAGTTGGTTGTCTCTTAAACTTCGGATGGAAGCCTATCAGGAGATTGCAGTTAAATGCCTTGTGGAGAAGTGGCCTAGTTAAAGCCAAAATGCATGCATGCTAATATAAGTAGAGTTTTCCTCTGCACTGCACATCACATTGTGCCTCACCCCATCAAGCACTTCTTTTTCCTCTCAAAAACAATACTGCTTTTTAATGTTACTGGCAATGTTCATCTTCAGTGAAAATAATATTTTAAATATGTATATTTTCCCTTTAGAGGCTTTGTGTATGTGGTAAGAGGATATAAAATTCCTTAGGTCTTTACTCACTCTGTAGGATGAACCATATAGGGGATAGAGATGAACAAGACTGATTAATTCTTGCTTTGATACCTTTCTCCTCTCCCATATTACATTGGGGGGAAAAAAAAAAAAAAGAGAACAAGAGAAAGAAAATAAAAGTCCATGAAGCAGGTGACCACTAATTCAGCGCTTTTAAGCAGAGCACTCTCTGGAAATATTCAGTTGGATATTTTTTTTCATACTTCCCAAATAAGAAGATTGTCACATTAACTGCAGAAGCCACTGTAAGCAACTCTAGTAGTGATGTAATCATGATGCAGTGGGCACTTAAAGCAGGATCCCTGTGGTTGAAATGGAGTCCAGGTTTAGCCGTGCAATGTTGCTGGTTAGGTGATCAGGTTTATGTCATGGCAGGGACTAGAATATTGTGGTGTGTCTACTTTGACAAATGAGGGGTAAGAGCAAACCCATTAGCCATCTATGACTGTATCAAGAAGAGAAACGACAGGGAGGCATACAAGCCAAGACAAGAACAGCAGAAGAAGGAGTAGATGTAAATGGTTCATAAGTGTTGTCTGGAAGTTGGAAGAAGGTTCCTAAGGACCAGAGAGACAACTGTCTGGAATAGCTCCAAATGTAAGGGCTGGGAGAGGGAAAAGCCCCAAGTAGTTTCAAGAGGGAGCTTTCCACTTAAGGGAAGAAACTGTATAATGTGCTAATCTGAAATGGCCATGGACTGCAGTGGCTTAAGGTCCCTTCCAGTCTTACATGTCCTCATCTCTTCAGTGGTGCCTAACAGGCTTTTGTAACTTTTATTTCCCACCACTATCTGAGAGATATGATACAGCTTTCTCACCAGATCACTAAGTGCTGTACAGCAGCCACAGAAATGTCCTTGCCCCTTGCTACCACTGGGTTTTGTTTTCTGAGGGGATTCCACTGGCAGCTATGACATTTGGAAGCTAGGACTCTTAAAAGCCCAGCCTGAGCTGTACAGCAGTACACTGAGTGTTGCTAACCTGGGGCTTCCCCCAGGAGAGCTGGCAGCAACAGGGTCATATAAGGCTGAATATACCAGCAGAGCAGGAAAACTGAAATGGGTTGTGAGACTAGCATGTCTCCTTTTTCTTTTTTAGGAAGATACTGTTGCTATGGCAATCCTTTCTTCCCCAAACTCATTTTAGTAAAGCAAGGCCTAGAATGGAGAAGTGAATTCAGCTGTACACAAAGTAGCAATTATTCTCAACAACTGGGGAACTTAGGGCCTGGATCTGAGCCATAGTGCCTTTCTCATGAAACTAGCAGGTCAATTTTTCCAAGACCCTTGACATTCTGTGTTGTGAGGCACAGAAGGATGTATTCCTTAGATAGGGGTTTTTTTTGTGTGTGTGTGTAGTGTGGTATTTGGAAATATGTAAACACTCACATTCCTTATTTATTCATCTTGACACTGAGAAACCAGTGTCTAGTTCCCAGGCTTCAAGCCAGATGAGGCTTGTGTTCTTCACAAAGGTGGTGATACGGTACCAACTTCCTGGTGCAGGGGTAAAGACTGTCTCTGACCCACTATCTCCCATGATTTCTGCTCAATGGTGTGTTATTAGTGCTATTATTACTTGCTTGTCACCATAGCAGAGACTACCATTGTAAAACATCAGTTCATTAAGCAAAGATAAAAAACATAATAGCTATATTGGGCCATACTCAGTCTCCATGTAACTCAGTATCCCATCTCCAACAGTGGCTGTGAGTGAACACCAAGGTAGGAGTGTGTATTTCCCTGTCCCCATGCTATTTCTGAATGTTTTCAGCCTAGGCACTTCTTGAGCTGAGTAAGTTTTCTGTGTTTAGTAACTCTCAGTGGATTCCTTTTCCCTGAACTTTCCCAGTCTCTCTTGAGATCATGTGAACTTTTAGCAGCTAAAGTATCCTTTGTCCAGCAGTTCACAGCTTCCAGACTTACAGTGAGAAGAAATACCATCTGTTTACAAATTTGGCTTCTTCCTCTTTGTCTGGTCCTCCCCCTGTCTAGCCTTTGTTCCAGAAGAAATAGTGAGCCATGTATCCCTACCTTCCCTCTGCATTTCTCATTATTTTGTAGCCCTCTTACTGCATCCTCCTTTACTCATCTCTTTTTGAGACCGACAAGTCTGGTGTACTCAGTTGCTCCCCAGACATTCCGGCTGCACTTCTCTCAGACATTTTCAAGTCCACTAAAGCTTTTGTGCATGGGAAAAGATAATATATTCTGTAGAAAACCACATTTGAATAACATAAGTGATAGCCAGGTTCTTAACTGGCCGGGGTCTAGCATTTTAGCATCTGCAACTATCATTTGTTTGGAAGGCATTGTGTTGCTGCACATATCCTGCAACTGGAAAATTAATGGGATATCTAAGCTACTTAGTCCAAAGTTCAAAATTGTTTGCAAATATTGATAATAGCTTATGTGTGTTAGGTGTTCTTTGCTTGATAAGGTTGGGTAATCATTTGAGCTCATTTCTGTGCAACTCTGAGTTTCATGGAAACATACTTTTGCTTACGTTTTGTATGTATTTTGTTAGTGAGAACATGTAGATTTCTATGTGGCTGGATGGGAGCAGAGTATGGGGTGTATTTGGGAAACCTGAGAATTGTGAGGCAAGTATATGGAGCCACAGTATAGGCTGAACAAGAAACCCTCTGCATTTATTTACAATTTCTCTCAGAAAGGTACATATTACTTGGTTAAGTCTTCAGCTTGCACTAGTAACATTCTTGCTTCAGCTATGGCAGTGACAGATTTTGTGGCCTTTAGCAGTTCGCTCATTTCTGTGACTGTCTCATTACCTGGCTGCCTTTCTTGCTTGCATGGTATGACTACTTGATACTTACATAATTTGTTGAAGTTTTAATTATTATAAATGCCGATTTTCATCTACTGGTTTGTAACATAACAAATCCCTGTCCAGGTAGTGTTCTGTCTCCAGCACTATTTTCAGTCTTTGCAAGATAACGTTTCTAGTTAATAAATATCAGAAATTCTTTTCATTGCACATTCCTTGGATACCAAAGTGGCTAATTCAAGAGTGTAAACAAATGGTTATTTATTTTAAGTTTGGAAACAATGTTTGTACAAGTGCACATACATTTTAAACATTCTTTTTAATTTCTTAAACAGGACATTTTTTGCTATTTATAATGAATATAGAATCTCTGATTAATTTATTGGCAAAATTTATACTGACCTTAACAGATCAGGATCTGCTCTGTGAATTTGCTTCTTAAGGGACAGAAACAAACTCAGAAAACTCTTTTTGACTTGGCGTCTCAATGTTCTGTCTGCTTATGGGAATGATGAAACAGACTTAACTCACAGCATATCATAAATATAGGTCCGTGTTTGAAATACACATTGTCAGCTACAGATGGAAGACAGAGAAGGAGCTTGACTTGAGGCCACCTACACTATGCAGTGTTCGGGGGAGGCAGGCTGACAGTGGCCTTGGCAAACAGCCAGCTCTCCTGGTGCTACCAGGGGTGAGCTTGCAGACTGTCCCTTCCCTCACAGGAGATGGCAGCAGGCTGCTGCAAACCTGTTGGGTTGATTGAGGCAGGTGGGACAAGGATGCTTCACTTTTACAGGTGTAGGCAACCAAGAAGACAAAGGTATTGTAGTCAATACCTGACCCAGCCAAAGGGTATATTATGCTTCTCTGCCAGTCCTGTCATAGCACTCCCCAGGTAAAGGAACAGCCTCAGGATAGGTGAAATTATTTTATATTTTGGTTTGTGAGGAAAAACAGTTGCACCAGAAGTCTTTTGTGATAGGCCAGTATATTTCACTTTCAGCAAACCAGTCATTTGTTGTTTTCTTCACTTCCAGGTGATGTAGAAAGTAATCTAAGCACCAAGTACATGTTGTGGTGTATACATTTTTTCAGAACAATAATCCCTTGCACATTGTGGTTCTTACTGACTGTACCTGATGTAACTAATGTTTTGTGGCATAACCCACCTTCTAGTATTTTGAGTAAAGGGAAACTACTCATAAGACCTGCTGGCAGAGTTCAGCATACATTTCGGGTGTCTTAAATGCTGTTGTTCTTAGCCTAGATTTTGGACAGTTTTAAAACCTTGAGGAGTTCCGTAAATGGGACATATATGTCAAGTGCTAAAATAATCCAATCCATAAAGGTAAATATTCTCTCCTCCCCACCTGTCTTGGCAAGTTTTCACAAAGAGAAATTTTGAAAAATTATCAATACCTTAAAAAACTGTGAGTGCCTCTACTGTCTGTTGAAATTCGGGGGGGCAGGGGTTTGTGACATAACACTCACTGGGCTAGGCCAAGATCCTTTAGCTATTATTTTCCAGTAATTTTCACAATTGTGTTTTTCTTTCCTGAAAAGATTTCTTTTATGGTGTATTTTATAAGCTTAAATTTCAATAGCATATGAATAGTTTGAAAGGGCCATACTTTTAAATTACTTCATAACTATATAACCTGATTGTTCCACTTACATAGTGTGCCAGCAGTCTTGGAGATAGATTCCTAGAAAATAAGCAAGTAAGTTTAGATAGTGTAACTCGAGGTAAGTAAGTGTTCTGTGGTAATTGTGTCATATTCATTAACAAAAACTAAGGTAGAGAACTTTAGTGTTTTAAAATAAATTGTATAAAGGTGGATTCAGAAAATTGATTTGTCACTTATTCTAGCATTTGCTAATGGTGGGAATTATGTATAAAAACTATTGAAAGTTAGAAGCATAGCTGTTATAGTCACCTAAAATAAAATTACCATAATATAAAAAAGAACTTTTTATGTTAATAAAGTCAGTATTTCCAAATAGAGTTTATGGCTTTTTTTTTTTCTGAAGTAAAATCTAGACTGTAAGAGTCTTTCTTTTTTCTTTGCATTATTATCTTCTGTCATTTCAGCATGCATACGTAACTACAGCCATAAATGGGACAAATTTTTGTACATCAGCAAAAGATGCTGTCTTTATTTTGTCAAAGAATTCTGCTCGACTTGCATCCATTAGCTGTTTTGGAGATTTTATCCTATTTCTAGGAAAGGTAAGAGCAAGAAAAGTACTGTTCAGTAAGAATGAAGTGAAAAAATCAAGGTTTGATTCTTTCTTCTTACACCTGAAGTAAATAAAGGTTATCTTTGTTAAACTCAGTGTTGTCAACTGAGTTTCAAAGAAGAGATAAAGTTTGAGGAACGTAACCCTTTCCATAGCCTTCACTGAATGATTTGATTGTATTACAGCAGCGTCCCTGGTGCCACTCTTACAGTTCGCATTGCAATGAGTCTTTGGTAAATGCATAGGAAAAGATTGTCTCTGCCCTACAGAATTTACACACTGAATCGAACACAGTGTGACAACTGTGTGATGCCAGAAACGGCATAGCTATCTCCCAGATGAGATGTGCTATTAAAATATTGGCTCTAATGTATTTGAGTTGGGTTTTTTGTTTTTTTAAGAAACATTTATAGAAGATTACTGAGGCTGCATTTCTCTCTCTGCCTTTTACAGGTGTTTGTTGTATGTTTTACTGTTTTTGGAGGCTTGATGGCATTTAACTACCATCGGGAGTTGCAAACTTGGGTAGTTCCTCTGTTGCTTGTTGGATTTTTTGCCTACTTTATGTCCCACTGCTTTCTGTCTGTGTTTGAAGTGACAGCGGATGCCATGTTCCTTTGCTTTGCTATCGATATGGAAACAAATGATGGATCTGCAGAGAAGCCATACTTCGTGGATCAGGAACTGCTGGTAAACCTCAGTAATAACAGCAAAGATATTTAAGCCATTCTAAGCTTTTGGGGGCTTCTTTTCTTCCCAAGCCCTAGTAATTTAAACCCACAACTCATGTTACTTCCTTTTTCAATACCTTAGAACGGGATGGGCTCAGTGATGCAAATCATATGTGTGGCTCCTGTGTGCTAGCTGTCATCTTTTGCTTTCTTTTAGATCATACCCTGTAAGTAATGGCTGACTTTTCAGGCCTCATTAGATATATGTTCAATATATTGTTGGTAATAATTAAAAAATATAAATGAGTTAGTTGCAGAGATCGATCCACGGGGGTGCTTGAAGATTAGATGTTCATATTTGTTGTGACTTACTGTACAGTGACAAGCAAAAGTAAAAAACAAGGAGCTTCTTGTTGCCAGCAGCAGGTCAGGTGTCCATCCACATTCTATGGATGCTGTAGTTCTGAACAAACTTCATGCAAACTGGAGTTGCTCTGCTCCATTATTATAGAGACTGTTGCCAAAATATTGTCTTCTGTCTCTTCATTAAGTCTCCAGTCTCCAGACTGATTGTTCTGTCTTTACTTTCATAATTACTGTATTATATTACAAGCATTTCTGTGGAAAATCATTACGAAGTTAATAGCAATGGAGAGCTTTAGTTACTAGCTGTACCTGAAGCATTTGAATGTATCTATACCACCCCTCTCATATGAAGAGAATATTTGAAGCTGCAGATGTTTTTTCCTTTCATGCTGTTTTTGCCAGTTCTGTCTTTTCCTTCCTAAACCATGCAACACAGAAAATCTTAGTGATTAATGAAAAACAAAAGCAGCAGCCAGAATAGTTCATATGATACGAATCTTCTGGATGGATTTATTTGGGACAGTGTTAGATGAACTGCATTTGTTGGTTGTTTTTTTTTTTAAATGCTGCTGTTAGATGCCCTGTAATGCTCATAGGATTTTGTTGAAAAGAAAAACAAGGAAAAAGCAGCCTAAAGATAGGCTTAACCCTTTGTACAGAAGGAGATAGATACTCTTTGGCCTTGATTCAGAACAGTACTTAAGCACATGTCCTGAATGCAAATATATTACTGAATGGAAAACTCTGAAGCCTTGACCTCTGTTCTTCTCCCTCTGTTTTGCCAAATGCTAGAATACTTCAGTAAGCCAATTCTCCATCATTAAACAAACAGAGGCTTTCCTTTCTCCACTTCCAAACTTTGTGGTAGTTTCTTTTTAACTCTGCCCTTAATTCCTTGTAATTAGCTATGCCCTAGGGCCTTAGGTGAAGAGAGGTCTTCCCACAGTGGCAAGGATTCTTACAAGCAGGGCAGTCTGTATAACCTTGTATGAAAAAACTAGGGAAAGCACATCCAAACTCCTCATTGCATGATCAAGAGTAAGTATACTCACTTAGCCAAGAACTTGGAGTTTCCCAACACATGAAGGCATTTGACTTGGGATGTCTGTGTTACAGTCGGGTTATAAACATCTGGGGGTGGAAGGGAGGCCCTGTGGCACTAGGACAACATGTGGCAGTGGGCGGTGGGATTTCAGACAGCCAGAGTCCTCATTCCTATAGTAGGAGATGTAGCAGAGATCCTTGATTCATCCCTCTCAGTTGCATTCATCACCCTTGCTGCCTCTGTAGAGTCCCTCCTAGTATCACTCAGTGTCATCCAGCTAGGAACCAGCTACAGTTTCTTAGCCCTAGGCTAATTATCTCCTCTTACCAGGTATTTTTATTTACATAATGGTTTGCATTCCCAAATGATCTCACCCTGGTTTTTGCTTGTAGACTTTTGTGAGTCAGAGTAACAAGTTAACAGATGGGCAAAAACAAAGAAGCATGAGATCTTTCCAGGACAATGAAGATGGGACAGAGCTCCAACCTATGGTGAGACAGAAGCGTGGGATACGGATTTATCTGCGAGCTAATGCGTTTGCCTTTATATCCCAAGAAGATTGGATGTAGGCTGTCATGTATCTCCTGATGTCTCACAGCAACCAACACGCCGCACCGTTTTCCTCTCTATTGCTTTCCTCTGTAGGAAGCCCTCTGCTGGTGCACAATGGACGGAGCGGATCATGTATTTGTTCTCATCCTTTCCATTCCCCAGTGTGCCCAGCAAAGGAGGAGAAAGATCGGACAGTGGCAAAGGGGTGGGAGATGAAGCCTATTCAGGTAGTCCTTCACATGCCTGCTGTAGCAAAGTCAGTGGTAGGCTGCTTGATTTCATGCTGGAACTGCCACAGTTCCAGAGGTATAAGATCAGTGCTTAGAGGCCTCTCCACCCTTTTAATATTTTCTTTCTTCTTTTTCTTTCTTCATTCTCTTTCTTCGTTTTCTTTCTTTTTTTGCTTTCTTTCTTTACTTTCTTTCTTTTTTTTCTTTCTGTCTTTTCTATCACTGCATATATTTATTTACTCTGTTTTATGCTGGGGTAAAAAAGCTGAGGTGCCAGAAGGGAGTGTTCCCCCACACCCAGGCTAGGAAAGTCCTGAGAATAAATGCTCACTGACAGCTGAAAAAATATTGCAAATTGCCCAACCTGAGAAGCAAGTTCAGCATCTGGGCCTATTTTCCTCCAGCACCATGGGGGCAAGACAGGGCTGCCAGAAAAGTATTCTGCAGCGACAGCTACTCTGGCACCTACTGCTGCTGGACGCACTACTACTAGTGTCTTCTGTCCTTGGAGGACTTCTTAAACCAGTGTAACATATGTTTGTGATTCTTCTTGATCTGCTTTCCAGAGGTACTAGACTCTAGTGAACTTCCATGCAATCTTGTGGGCTTTCTGCTATAGGCAGTTGGGCTACAGAGCACTGCTTCAGTTTATTGCTACAGTGAGGGAGTTGGGCTTGATTTTTGTTCGTTTGGGTCTGTTATTGAATTCATTTTTTGCTGAGCACAGAGGGTGGGAGCATGGTGGTAAGGGTGGTGAGAGGTGTGTTATTCCCTGTGAGAGGATTGTGGATTTGAGACACAAAAGAATCTTAATTATTTTTCCAGCTTACTCTTATGACATTAAAACGCAGTACCAGGACTAGTGCTACACATTATTTGACTCCTTTTTTTTTCCTCTTTGTAGACTTGAAGTGCGCCAGGAAGTATGAAGGCAAAAAAAGAACAGCAAAAAAAGTCCTAGAAAAAAAGTAAAGGTTGCCAGTACTCCAGGAAAAAGTATCAGTTCTCTAAATCTGTTACCTTCTGCACTGGTAAAATTACACACCATCTGTTTGTACAAATAATGTCTTTTGTGTCAGCACATCTGATTTTTATTAATATACTTGCAAAGATGGTTTGAATTTTAATAAACAAACTTGTATATTTCTGTGTTGTCAGACTAAAAATACTAAGTCAAAGGTCATCCAGCTATTCTCTTTAGCTTATTGCTGTGTCAGCTAACATGGGTTTTTTCATGCTTCTCTGGGAACACTGGATCAGTCAGTACATGTGGAAACATTTACAGAGGGGACACTCTGAGATGACTTTCCTGATTTGTTCTGTATTCCTGAACAGCCGGTGCAACCAGTAAAGGAACTGTACTGAGCTCAGTGATGGAAATTACCACTGATAGAAGTTCTCTGTAGTTAAGGTAATGGTTATAAGGTAGGTGACTTTCTTCTAATCTCTTTTGGAAATTATTTTCACAAGTTAGTATCATAAATTATCCATGGGCTCCTCTCCAAAGGGCAGATGAGGAATAGTTTTTGGTATTTTTTTTTTTAAATAAATAACTATTTTCCCTATGCAACTAAAAAGACAAAGGAAAAAAAGTATCTGGATTTAAAGCTTGAAAAGGAATTAGATGAGCAGTGGCTGGACAGATATACGATAAAAGGATGTTATAAGTAATACTTACAAATGTTAGCTGTAACATGGATGTGGAATATAAAATATCATGAAGGAATGTAGCAAGGAGACTGTCAGGGCCGTAGTCAGGACATGGTAAGTGTAGACACTTTAAAAAATAGTATCTTGGTAACAGGCTCTCAGCATTTTCTTGTAGAGCAGTTATGAGCTTTGTTTAAACTTTGTACTTGGACCCTGGTTATAATGCACTTTTGTGGGCTTCAGCTCATTCCAAGTATGGGGTAGTTACAGATTTTTACCCAGTGGCACATGATGTTATTCTTTGTTCAAAAGCTCCTTTAACCTTTTGTTTGAGGAGAGGTTTGAAGTGCAAAAATTACTCCAATCAGGGATTTCAGTGAAACACACATTAGTGTGGGAAGTGAGACATTACTGCAGGTGACTCAAAAGCTGCCATAATTGATTGATAAAATTTTGATTACTCACAGCTTGGAAGGGACAGACAGAAAAGCTCACTGAGGGCCTGAATGACAAATACGTCAGCTAACTACTCTATCTGATCTCCTGCTGTTGAAAGGAGATAAGTTATGTGCTAAGGCATGCTAAGAAATACCTGCTTTTCAGTCTTCATTTGATTAACTTTCCCTGCTTTAGTATGAGCCACATCATGAAACTGAGGATTATGGGATAGATGATGAAAAAGGGAAAGAAAGCGATTATTTTTGGCTGTGCAGGTGAATCTGATAATCTACTATCTGTGACTTGCTACCTCTCATTATTTAAAAGTGTACACTCGGGTACTTCTGGTACATCCACAGCTTGTGGATGCTGTGGGAACTGGAAATCATACCAAATCAGCAGTCGCTTTCAAAGTGTGAGGAAGTGTGCAGATAAAGTACTTACAGAGGGGCAAAACTTTTTCTCTGATTCCAGTAGGAGTGTTTCCAAGCAGTAATGTCTCCACAATGTAAAAATTATGTTTACCAACTTACAAAGCATAGTAGGTTCACTTGAAAGTTAAAAATATCAGTTCTTACTGTGTTTTTTTTTTTTTTTTCTGTTTGCATTTGATACATTGCATGTTTTGGGCCTTGACTCAGGAAATCTGGTGGAAAAAAAGGAGGAAAATTTGTATCTAAGTATTCTTGTTTTCAGACAATCCCTAGATGACCTCCAGAATCTCTTCTAATTGCAGTACAGAGGGGCAAAACTTTTTCTCTGATTCCAGTAGGAGTGTTTCCAAGCAGTAATGTCTCCACAATGTAAAAATTATGTTTACCAACTTACAAAGCATAGTAGGTTCACTTGAAAGTTAAAAATATCAGTTCTTACTGTGTTTTTTTTTTTTCATTGCATGTTTTGGGCCTTGACTCAGGAAATCTGGTGGAAAAAAAGGAGGAAAATTTGTATCTAAGTATTCTTGTTTTCAGACAATCCCTAGATGACCTCCAGAATCTCTTCTAATTGCAGTGATTCTGTGATTCTGTTCATTGCAATTATGATGCAGTGTCACTGCCTTCACTACAGTTCCTGGGAGGAGAAAGGACTTCTAGACACTTACTACAAAGTTTAGTTTGCTTTTTAAAGAAGGAAGGTACTGAAAAATTCCAATTAAACTGTATTTGAGTGTGTTTCATTTAAGTAATGCTGTACTGACCAGAAATTAAAACAGTGACAAAATGTTTTGAGCCACATACATTTTTAGAGAAGAGTTCCAAATTTATCACTTTAAATTAAATTTTCTACACAAAACGTAGCTTTATAGCATTCAGGTGCAACACAAGACCTCTCCAGCTTACATACATTCCACTAGCATTTGTGTCAACAATCTTCAGCTGCAGTGTGGCCTGAGTCCTCACCTGAGTTAGAGGGATAAAGCAGCCCTACAAAAGCTGATGCTATTTAGCACTTGTTTCTCGTTGCTGCCTTCCCCTGCAGGATACTGTAGTCAGGCAACTATAAAGCAGGCTGGAAGGAGGTGGTGGGGCTGGATGTAGGCACAGCTTAGGTGAATATGGTTAGTACTACTTCAGGCACTGGTGCTTGTCCAAGTCACTCTGGTATTTCAGTCTCTGCCCTGCAAAGCAGCCCAGTATCGTGTGGACTCTCCTTTCCTGCAGCTGTGGAAGATTGGCTTCAGAGGAATGCAAGGTACTTTATTAACAATAATCCTTAAATACATGAGATGGGGACTACTAGTGTCTATATACCAGGAAATGGCAAAGTATTATGGCATATTGTTCTAACAAGACAGTTTGCATTTGGTCTTGCTTGGTGTTTACTTCAAACTCTCGCTTAATTCAGTTATTATTCCACTGGGTGCCTCTGTGGATGAAAGAAAACAGGTGTACTGACAGCAGTTTTTTCTGTGTTGTTTCCTCTGTTCAAGTACAAATGTGTGCAATCAATTTAAAGCATAGGTTTTGGATTCAGAAAGAATGAGGGGCGTGGTTCAGGCTTTTAAAAAGAGACCTGGTTTTAACCAAAACTATGAAAGCAGCAAGGCTTTGGTTGTTGATCATAGCACTGCTTTTCAACAGTCAGTCAAATTGTTAAACATTATTTGAAGTGGGGAAGAGCAGATCTTAACAGACATCTTGGCAATAATTTTCATGCCTCAGATGCAGGGCTTGGACCAGTGACCTCCAGAGGTCCTTTAAGTTTAAATTCTATGAAATAAATAAGCTTAAAACTGACTCAACAAATAAATTAGTTGCAAGTCAGATCACATCACACTCAAAGATAACAGAACCCAATGGAGCAAAGCTCAAAAAATGTCTGGTTTTGTGAAAAGAATCCATTACAATCCAGAACTTAGAAGTGTGAAACATTTTATATGATAATGCAAACAAGTTTAATCTGTGGTAAATACTTAAAAAAACTCCCACTTTTCTTAAAAAAACCCCAACAAATTAGGATTAGCAACAGTGCCCCCCACTGCATGCTCTTTTTTTCTCCTGTTAAAAACATCCCAGGTAAATTAGCAGAGTGTGTCTGCACTCCATGGTGGGCAAGAAAGTATTTTCCATTTGGGACTAAAGCTCTGCTATCAGTAACTAAAGAACTCAGCTTGCAGACCAGTAGGCACAAAGACTGGGCTCTCTCTTCACATACTCTAAAGCAAGGGTGTCTTGAGTTCCCGAAGTGATGGCATGATTATTACAGGCTGAAGCAGTTTTGAATATATGCAGCTTCTCATTTGCCTTGAGAAAAGGGCAGGGATTTAGTGAACAGCTAAGGATCTCTGGTCCTAACTTCATAATCATGTAAAGGGGAAGTGAACTCTGCTGTAAAGGAGCTACATTCCTTTCCTGTTAAGTCATTGTCACTCACTCCCAGGAGATTGTTTTACAAAGTTGTTAGATTAAATCCTGTGGAAAAGAAAGAACCGGAACTGCAACAGACAGCAGTTCTACATTACCCTTAACAAAGGCAAATGTGATGTGGATTTGGAAATAATCTCTGTGGCATCTGATCTTATGAATGTTAGCATAAAAAATGAGACAGGATCTTCTACATACCATTAAGAAAAAAATATTTATTTATAAAAATACACTGGGATCAGTTTGAGAAGTATGGTAATAAATACAGTTCAAGGTCTTCCTAGAACTAGAAAAGCATTTCTACATGGATATATTATGGCACAATAAAAGGTAAATGCACCATCAATCATGGAACTTCTGTTGGCTCAAGACTTTGTACAAGCTCCCTTTTTAGTAAGACAACTGTTTCTAAGAGTTTGGTCAGTGTTGATGATGGAATGAATACACAATCACAAATGCACACTTATGTCTAATGCAGGACTTACCATTAGCAAACAATACCTTGAAAACATAGTAATGATAGTTAATTCACTAATGTGATGTCTTAGATTTAACTGGCAAACACCACATTTAACTTTAAGCATTAAATGCTTTTATCTCATCTGGAAAACAGAAAAGCTGCAAATACGTAAAATGAAGGCTAATTGTGGTATGTAAATACCTACTAAAGTATTGTGAAAATATATAGCTCCTTATTAGACAACCTGGCTGTACATGAGCACTCCCCTCTTTCACAGTATTCCTTTTACTTCATATGCAGTTATTGTTTATGCTGTAGACTACATCTGTTACAGCACTAAAGGCAACTAGACAGGGAAAGGGCAGAGAAAGGAAAAGGGAATGTATGTAAGGCAATATTTCTTTAGGTACATTAAGCATAGTGTGTAGGAAAGACAGGTAACAATTCCACAAGGCTAGTTTCGTTCTTACTGAATAAAATAATGGACTAATACTGAACTTGATGCAAAGCTAATAAT